GTATTATAATAAGTGAAATTTATATTATACCCGGGTATTATTCCATAATCACAAATGCAAACCCGTGAATTGTACCCAGGTCTTTTATATTGGGGGTATTATAGCAAGGGGTACTGTAGTCAGTGCCGTATGGTACATTTGTACAACTCCTTTTAACCCAATTGATTTGGTTAAAAAATATTTCTTTTCAAAAAAACTCAAGTAATATTTTACTTTTTCTTCCTTAGTTAGAATTTTAAAATACGCATCATACAATGATTCATTTAACATATTGATAAAATAAGTATCATTAAATAATTTACGTAATCCACAAAAATTTTTTTTTACAGAACTTCTATGCAGATCGATAACTATAATCTCTTTACATGTTTTTCCAATTAATTTTTCTAATGTTGATAATTCTTGTTTACTAATTTTATCAAATTCATTTGATCAGAAAATATTTTTAATGCCAGAAACATTGCGTAAATTATTTAATATTTTTTCTGATCTTAATGTAAAATTCTTGTTATTTATATGTTTTAATTATTAATATCTTTAAATAAATACAAATGCTGAAAAAAAAACAAAATTAAAAAAAAATGGTGAAATTTCTTGCAAAAAATGTTCAATTATTAAGAAAAGATGTGAAGATGAAAAACCATGTTCATTCTGTAAAAAAAATAATTACAAATGTGAATCAAATATTCATAAAAAAAGAGGTCCAAAACCATCTATTGAAAAATTAACAGAATGAATATCACATATTTACTCAATTAATAACTCTTCTTATCACATTTCCAAACATATCTACAACTCGTAATCTTCCTTGCCACCTATTTTGATTATCGTCTAAATTTATCTGTTGCGCATCTAATCGATTATCAATCACTTTTCTATTCCTATCTAACTGTGGAATATTATATAAATCTCTCTGTTTCGCTGCTATTCTTTCTTGTCTTCTCTGTGCTGCTAATTCCATACATTCTTTTCTACATCTCTCAATATTCAATCTACGATTTTGTCTTTCTCTATCATATTGTAATACTTGATTTCTATTTACTCGAACATATGGTAAAATTAAATTTAAACTATATATAACACAACATGTATCAATACTATTTCTATCATACCACCTAGTCGCACAATGTATATAAGCCATATGTCTTTGATTATTACAAAGCCTCACTACTTCTAGATTATCATTCATAGCTTCTTTTAAAGGTGTATTACAAATAGAACATTTTGTAAAATATTGCGAATCTATATTTCTATCTTTATTTTGTTGTAGTGGTGGTGGTTGCTTTTCTACAACTATTTGTTATACATTATCAATTACCTTCACATCCTTCCTTATTTGTGGAATATTATCCATATCTCTTTGTCTTTCTTCTAGCTCGTTCCAAATTCAATCTCTGATCTCAATTTCGTCTCATTATTTGTAATATATGATCTCTTCCTACTCGACGACGTAAAAGAGGTTTAAAACACACTATACAAGTTTGTGCAATACGAGGTCTATCATACTATCTAATTGCATAATCTTCATGTATATAATAAGACACATGTTGATTATTATATAATTGTATAACATTTCCACCTTAATGTAATGATATATGACAAATAGGACATTCTAAAACATCTTGTTGATTAAATTCTTCTTCTTCTTCAATAATTATTTGTTGTGGTATTCGATTATCATTTACTTGAATTTCTCTATATCTTTGTAAAGCTATCGCATCCAGTTTCAATATATTTTCTGGTACTACATTTCTCCA